TCATCCTCATCCTCATCATCATCATCATCAGCATCAACCTCAGCATCATCATAATCATCATCATCAGCATCATCATCACCATCATCACCATCACCATCACCATCATCATCACCATCACCACCACCATCATCATCATCATCATCATCCTCATCATCATCATCATGACCGACCGAAAATGATGAGGGCTTTGGGCCACATCCGGCAGGGAGCGCCAAGCAAGAATCAGGGAGGCCGAAGAGCCCCATGCGGCGCCCAGGCACGGAGTCAGGAACTGGGTCGAGATGGTTCGTGGCACCTTTCACTCTTGGGAGACTTCATCACCCTTCCCCTCATCATCATCATCATCATCCTCATCCTCATCCTCATCCTCATCCTCATCATCAGCATCATCATCATTATCGTCATCGTCATCGTCATTGTAGTCGTCATCATCATCATCATCATCAGCACCATCATCATCGTTATCATCATCCTCTTCATCAGCATCATCATCATTCTCAGCCTCAGCCTCAGCCTCAGCATCACCAGCAGCATGATCATCATCATCAGCAGCATCATCAGCATCAGCATCAGCATCAGCATCAGCATCATAATCAGCATCAGTATCATCTGCATAAGCATCAGCATAATCATCAGCATCAGCATCATCAGCATCAGCATCAGCATTGTCAGCATTATCAGCATCATCAGCATTCTCAGCATCAGCATCAGCATCAGCATCAGCATCATCATCATCATCACCATCACCATCACCATCACCATCACCATCACCATCATCATCATCATCATCATCATCATCATCAGGCTCAACATCATCATCATCATCATCATCATCATCATCATCATCATCATCATCAGCATCACCGTCATTACATCATTTGCATCATCGGCCCAAAACGGCCCAAAACGGCCAAAGATCGCGTCAGACGCCTCCCATGATGCGCCTATATAACATTTGGGTCGTCGGCCCCAAACAGCCCCAGACGGCCTAAGATCGCGTCAGCCGCCTCAAAAATCGCACCATGCTGGCCCGAGAAGCCCCCGAGAGTGCTGCGAGAGCGAATCACGGCATGGCCCCAAGAGGCCGCGGAGAGGGCTCCAGACCGACAACAAGGGCGAGGGATTCAGGGCCAAATCCAGCAAGGAGCGCCAAACAAGCGTCAGGAGGGCCGAACCGTTTTGGGACCGTCTTCGGGCCGTCTCAGGCCGCGTTTGGCTGCTGTTGGCGCTTTCTTCGGTGCTTCTTGCGCCGTCATCTTGGGGCCTCTGGGGGTCGTTGAGGAGCCTCTCAGCGCTTCTTTTCGGCCTCCTGAAATCATCCTGGAGCCCTCTTGGGCTGTCTCGGGTGCCTCTTGGGCCGTGTTGAGGCCGTCTGGGCCCGTCCGGAAGTTATCTGGGGCCGTCTTGGGCGTTTCTGGAGCAGTCTGAGGACTGTCAGAGGGTCGTCTTGGGCCGTGCTGGGCCGCTCTCGAGGCTGTCGTGGGTACCCCGTGGGCCGCCAGGGGCGCCTCAGAAGCCGTCCTGGGGACATCTTGGGACACTGTATGGCCGTCTTGGACGCTATGAAGAGGGCAAGCCTGGGAACTGCGAAAATGCATGTTTTCCATGGGGAATGGGACGATTTGTCGGTGTTCAGGCTCTCTTGGGGCACGTCGTGGAGCCCACTTGGAGCGATCTGGAATCCTCTTGGGCCGTCTGGAGGCTGTTTGAGGCGCTGTCGAGCGCTCTGGACGCGTCTCGCAGACCCTCTTGGACCGTCTTCGGCCGTCTGGGGGCCGTCTTTGGGGCCTCCTGGTGCGTCTCGGAACGCTCTTGGGCCATCTTGGAAGCGCGCCGGGGCCTGCTGGGGCTTGCAGGGGCCGCCTGAGGGGGCCGGTCCGCTACCACCGCTCTCACCATCCGCGAGCGCTGGGGCAGCCATTGTACGAGAGATGACGTCGGGCTCCAGCTTCGCTTCCCGCATCTCGCTCAACAACGCCAGCGCCGGCTGCCACTGCTGGCCCTTCTCGCACGCGCTGATCCCAGCGCTGTAGCTGACTGGGGCTGACCCGTGGACTCCGTCCACGAATATTTCTGGAATGGTTCTCGGAGGAACGGCGCAGATTGCACCGAAAATCTACAAACACGGCGGCGGCTCGGGCGGCGGCAGCGAGACCGCGCCTTCGTGTCCGAGCTCTTGCAGCGCTCCAGCAGCTTGGCCCCGGCGCACTGCTCGTTCACCCCCCTCCTATTGAGGGCAGTTTCGAAGTCTCTCGGGGATGTGCGTCGAAGTCGAAGCTCATCTGAGGCGTCTCAGGAGCGCCTGGGAAAGGCCTCGGGAGGCCATCGGGGAAAACCACCGAAAGCGCCGGGGAGGCTCGCAAGGATCTACAGGGAGGGCCCAAGAGAGCTTAAAGAAAATTTGGAATTCAGTAAAATCTGAACAGGAACCGCTGTTGGGTCGGCCATCACCTCTGGGCACGCCTTGATGGTGCGATCCAGTCGCATCGCCGCCAACGGGAGGCTTTGTTCGCCAAGTGCCATTCTGTTCGCCCAGAGGGTCTGTGGTCCGAAGAGTGCGGAGAGGTACATGGGTCATATCAATTGGCTGCTGTCCCAGGGGTCCGGTCTGGTTGGCCCGAAGAGTTTGCCAAGGCCTTTGGGGGAACAGGATGGCACAGCATATCGGGCAAAGGGGGGCGGTAGCTGGCCTGTCAGACCCTGCGTTCGTCTTCTGCCCAAGCGGCGCGGGGCCCACGGGCCCCAGGGTTGGCGGCCCGCTGGGTTTCCTCTTGTTCGCCCACAGGGTTGGAGGAGGCCCCCAGGCGAACAGAATGGGGCAGGACAATGAATGTGGGAGGCTTGTCGCAAGCTCCCGGTCCCCCCAAGTGTTCGCCCGAAAGGTGTGGGGCCGTGTTGGCTCCCTCAAAAGGCCGTCTTGGAGCCGTCTAGGCCCGTCTTGAGGGCGCCGTTTGCCGTGATGGGGCCATCTTGGTTCGTCGTGGGCCCCTCATGGGCGCGTCCGTAGGCCGTCCTGGGCCCATCGGGGGTCCTTGTTGGCACTATCTTGGGGCCGTCTTGGAGCCGTCTGGGGCCCTGAGGGGACCGCCTTGGAGTCGTCTTGGGCCCCTCCTGTGCGCCTCCTTGGGTCGTCCTGGACCCAGTATGGGCCGTGTTGGCACCCTCTTGGGGCTGTCTTGGAGCCGCCTTGAGCGGTCGCAGCGCGCCGTGGGTTGTGCTGGGGCCGTCTTGGCCCGTCTTGGGGCCTTCCTGGGCGTTTCCTCGGACCCTCCTGGGACTTTCTGGGGCCTCTTGGGCGAACCCGTGGACTTCGTCCACGTCATCTTGGGCCAGTCTTGGCTCGAAAAGGCCGTCTTGGGCCTGTCTTCGCTCGAAGTGGCGAGAAGGTGGAAATCTTTCAGAAACCATCGAAGAATCAATGATTTCGTTTGCCGCGGCTCGTCTGGAGCGTCTTCGAGCGGTCTTGGGCCGTCTCGGAGGCCCTCTTGGACCGCTTCCTTCTCTTCGTCCGCCTTCCGCTCTACCTCTGCCTAGACAGCCTTTGGAGCGTCACGGACGGCTATGGTGGGTCTGCGGGGTCCGTCTCGCCGCTTGTCAATTTTGAAAGCACCTGGGGCCTTGAAAAAAGTCACCCGGAGGGCTCTGGTGACTTTTTTCCGGTTGCCTCTTCGAAGCCTGATGGCGGGCGCTGCCGTCTCCTTGGGAACGGTTCGTGGGCCTCTCGGGGTTCCTTTTCGAGCTCCTGGGGGCCTGTTGGGGCCTCGTTGGCTGTCGTGCGGCCTCCTGGGGGCCTCTTGGGGCGCTCTTGGGCCGTCTTGCGGCCTCCTGGGGGCCTTTTCTCTTGAATTTTTTTTGGGCGCCTCTGGGGCCTTTCCCGGGCTGTCCCCCCGAGCCTCTTCCGAGGGACAGCTCAGGAAATCCATTGTCCATTGTTCTTGCGTGCTGTGCGTGCGTGCTCCGGGTGTCCCGACGTCACCGCTCGCTCTTGGGAGCTGTGCCTGGGAGAGCTCTCTACGCTGCGTCTCGCTCTTGGGAGCCTTGGTGAAAAGAGCGTTGTACTTCGCCGATCGCTCTGGGCGTCTCTGAGCCTGCTTGGTGGTCCTTGTGGGGGTCTTTTTTCAGGCCATTCTGAAGCTTTTTTGGGCTGCTCTGGGAGCGTTCTGGAACGTTGTGGGGCCTTTTGGGGCCGTCACGGGGCGTCCGGGAGGCCTTGGACCGTCTTGGAGCTCTCTTGAGTCTTGAGGCTACCTGAGGCCGTCTTGGGAGCCTCTTGGGGCCCCCTCGGAGCTCTATTGGGGCTGTCTTGGGGTTCTGTGAGGCCGTTTCAGGGCTCTCTGGCGTCGTCTTGGGGCTCTTGTGGGCCGTCTTGGAGCCCTCTTAGGGGCCGCTGGCGTCTTCTTGGGGCGATTTGGGAGGCCGCTTGGCGTGCCCTGGGCCGCTGAGGAGCACACAAGGCGGGCATGCTAAAAATATACGTGTTCCCATCGGAATTTGACGATTTGTACCTCTTTGGCGTGCGCTCGGGGACCTCTTGGGCCGTCTTTGCGGCCTCTTGGATCGTCGTGGAGCCCCCCCCGGAAGGCTTCGGGCCCTCGTGGGCCGTCTCGGGACCCACTGAAGCCGTCTCGGAGCGCTCTTGGACGGTCTGGGAACCCCTCTGGAGCGCCTCTAAGACCAGCCTGAGCGATTCGGCCCCGTGGTGGCGCCGTAAAGGGGCGATTTTGTGCACACGAGGCACTGTGAGCCATTCTCGCACGCGCTTCCACTGGCCATGTAGGAGAGATGACGTCGGGCTCCAGCTTCGCCTCCCGCATCTCGCTCAGCAGCGCCAGCGCCCGTTGCCACTGCTCGCCCTTCCCGCACGCGCTGATCCCAGCGCTGTAGCTGATGCCGTTGGGCTCCAACTTCGCCTCCCGCATCTCGCTCAGCAGTGCTAGGGCCGGCTGCCATTGCCCGCCCTTCTCGCACGCGCTGATCCCAGCATTGTAGCTGATGGCGTCGGGCTCCAGCTTCGCCTCCCGCATCTCGCTCAGCAGCGCCAGCGCCCGCTGCCACTGCTCGCCCTTCCCGCACACGCTGATCCCAGCGTTGTAGCTGATTGCGTCGGGCTCCAGCTTCGCCTCCCGCATCTCGCTCAGCAACGCCAGCGCCCGCTGCCACTGCTGGCCCTTCTCGCACGCGCTGATTCCAGCGCTGTAGCTGACTAGTGCGCACTATGGTAATTAAGCTCGCCGCTATCGACGTTGAGGGGGCTTGGCCGCAGCCGACAAGCGTTCGTAATGTTTTCCCGCGTGGAGCGCACGGCCTGACAGAGGGGGTGCTGGAGCGATGGAAGGTCAGGGTCCTCGACGGCAGCCGAGGTGGAGGCTTTCGGACGTGATTGCCTGTGTCGGGCGTCTGGGGTCCCCTGATTCCAACGGGCGTTTTTTCGACTTGGCCTCCAGAAGCTGGCACCAAGCCTCGGGACCAGCAGTGAACGACCCAGGACAACAAATTCGTCCCCTGGGCATCGTCGTGACATTCGGAGGCCGACGTGGGAAAAAACCGACTGTTAGGGGTAAGGGTCCCCGGGAGAGGCTGCTTACCCTGAGTCGCCTTCAAACGGCCCAGGCCCGCGACAGCCCCCACAGCCGAAGATCGCGGAACGCCTGGAGCCGCCGACGGCCGAACAACACGAAAAAACCGGAGTGGCGATGGTGATCGCTGGTCCCTCCTCGTCATAGACCGGGGACTCCGTGAGAGGTCTGGCGTCTTGGGATGTTGTCGGGCCCCAGGGGTCTGTCGCTGGCTCTGACGTCCAGGGAGAGAGCCTTGAACATAGATGGCCCCACTCGCCTCGCGGCCTCTTTTGAAATGCCTCTCTCAGCCGCCGGTTGGCCCGTGGAGCTGTTCGGGTCCTCTCTGAACTGCGGCGGGCCTTCAGGGATATCTCAGGCGTTCCCCAGGGGGGCCCCGAGGGGCCCCCAAGTGCACCCCACGAAGGTCCAAAAGCAGATGGCGTCACTGCGCGTGCTTTGGGGCTCTCTTGGGATCCACCTGGCGCCGTCGTGAATGCCCCTTCTAGGGCATCTTGGGGCCCGCTTGGGCCTACCCTGGGGCCGGATGTGTGTCCAAACGCCTGTTAAGATTATGATTGTGTGCGGGCCCCCAGGGAAGTTTTTGGGGACTTCTTGGGTGACTCTCGGGCGACAACGGCGACAACAACGTCCAAGTTAGACCCTTCAACGGATGTCGCGGCCTTTCTGAATTTCCTCCCGGCCGGACGTTTGGCCTTCAAACGCTTGTTACGATTATGATTGTCGGCGGGTCCCTGGAAATCTTTCTGGGGACCTCTTGGGTGGATCTCGGGCGACAACGTTTCTACCACGACGACTACGACGACGACGACGGCGACGACATTGGATGAAGATCATTCAGCGGTTGTCGTGGCCTCTTCGAATTTCCTTCCAGACAGACGCTGTCACGATTCAGATTGCGCGCTAGCCCCCAGGACAGTTTCTGGGGACCTCTTGGGTGGTTCTCGGGCGGCGACGACGACGACGACGGCGACGACCTCCGATGAAGACCCTGCAGCGCATATCGTGGCCCCTTCGAATTTCTTTTCGGCCGGACGTCTGGCCGTCAAACGCCTGTTACGATTCTGAGCTGCGCGGGCCCCAAGGAGCTTTAGGGGACCTCTCGGGTGATTCTCGGGGCCCGTGTCAGTTCTCGTAGGAGCTTTCTGGAGGCCGCGGGAGACGGCAGCTACGACCGACGACGACGACGACGGCGACGACGACGACGACGGCGACGACCACGATGCCGACGCCGACGGCGACGACGGCGACGGCGACGACAACGACGACGACCACGACGCCGACGGCGACGACGGCGACGGCGACGGCGACGGGGACGGCGACGACGGCGACGACGACGACGACGACGGCGACGACGACGACGACGGCGACGACGACGACGGCGAAGACGACGGCGACGACGACGACGACGACGACGGCGGCGGCGGCGGCGACGGCGACGACCGATTTAGACCCTCCAGCGGTTGTGGGTGGCCTCGTCGTATTTCCTTCAGGCTGGACGTCTGGCCTTCAAACGCCTGTCACGATTCAGATTGCGCGCGGGCCCCCAGGAAAGCTCTACGGGACTTCTTGGGTGGTTCTCGGCCGACGGCAACGACGACGACGACGACGACTTCCTATGCAACCCCTTCAACGGTTGTCGTGCTTCGAAGGTCATTCCGGCCGGACGTCTGGCCTTCAAACGCCTGTTACGATTATGATTCTACGCGGGCCCCTAGGAAAGCTTCTCGGGACCTTTTTGGTGGTTTTCGGGGCTCGTGTCGGTTCTCGCGGGTGCTTGGGCGAACAAAAAATGGCATAAACATAAAAACTCGGAGGTCCGCGCGGATTTCTCGGATCAGCGCTGGACCCCCCTCCCTGGAGCGCGGAGCGCGCCAGGGGCGGCGCCGGAGGCGCCGCCGGGGGGCCCCAGCGCCGATCCGAGAAATCCGCGCGGACCTCCGAGTCCTTCTGTTTATGCCACTTTTTGTTCCCCTGTTGCTGGAGTCCTCGGGGGACTCTGTGGGGGGCAGCCTAGGGCTATGTCGTTCCCATCCTACTTAAGGACCACATCCCAGAAATAATTTCGAGCACCCAAAAGAGTGTCGAAACAGTGACCCCCAGGGTCCGACACGTGAGAACCCTTGAGTTTCGATCTTTTTTGGCCGCTCGGAATTCTTCCTGGTGATCGAGGCTAAAGTAGGTTGGAGCATCATAAGTCCACGGGCTACTGGGCAAGCCGCGTGACCTCGCGGGAAACCCCCGGGTTTGGCGGCGGCGGCGGGATGGCGAAGGCGCCTGCGCGCCAGCAGCAGGCCCCACCGCTTCACCGTCAGGGAGGTCCTGGTACGGGGTGCGCGTGAGATCGGGCGTGTCGGGCCGGGAGAACAGTACACATGCACCGATCTTGGCAAGGCCCGTCCTTGACCGAGGATCGGTGCATATGCCTTCCTGGCCAAGGTAGGAGGGCGTATGCACCGATCCTGGGCTCAGGATGGACCTGGCCATAATCGGTGTATGTGCATAGTTCTTTTTCCTCTAGCGTGGAAGTGGCGAGGTAGCTCGAGCGTCGACCTTCCCGCAATCGGCAGGATGACTCGGGCCGTCTTGGCGGCTCCTCCCGTGGCCCACTTGGGGCTCTCGATGGGAGCCTCTTGAAGGGTCCGCGTGGGGCTCTTTCGGGCCGTCGCAGGGCTCTCTGGGGCCGTCCTGGGGCCCTCTTGGGCAGTTTTGGAAGGCTCGGGTCGTCTTGGGGCCATCGTTGGTGGGCTCTCTTGGGGATCTCCTGTGGTCCTCCCGGGGCTTTCCTAAGGGCTTTCTCGTGCCATCCGGGATGTGTCTTGGGCTGTCCTGGGGCTCCCTGGGGCCGTCTTGGGACCCTCATGGGCAATCTTGGGGCTGTCTACCCGCCCTTCTTGCCCGCGCCGGTCCCAGCGTTGTAGCTGATGACTGCGGGCTCCAGCTTCGCCTCCCTCATCTCGCACAGCAGCGCCAGCGCCCGCTGCCACTGCTCGCCCTTCTCGCACGCGCTGATCCCAGCGTTGTAGCTGACTAGGGCTGACCTGTGGACTCCGTCCACGACATCAGCTCGGCATGGCGAGGGGTCTCTGGGCAAGCGCGGGGGGGTGCGGCTGCAGGGCCGAAAGGCAATCGCGTCCTTGACCACGATGGCCAGTTGAAGGCGCTCTCCACACCCTCCAGGACCTCCTGCTCTCCTGTGTTCCTCAGCTGCTGCTGCTGCTCGGAGGTCCTGCTGCTTCCTCCCCCTCCTCCTCCTCCTCCTCCGCCTCCTCCTCCTCATCCTCCTCTTCCACCTTCTTCTCCTCTTTCGCTGGATTCTCCATGCCCTCGGTCGGCTATCGTCGATCCTACGACGACTCTCCCCAACAGAGAAACATCGAAGGCCCTCGGAGCGTCCAACATTGTTCTTTTGTGCCTTCGATATGCCGGTCGCCTCTCGTCCGCTCCCCCCCTGCTGGAAGCAATTCTGAGGCCACTTAGGGCTTCGTGGGGGCCGTTTGGGGATCTCTTGGGGCGTTTTTGCCTGCGATATGCCTGTCGCCTCTCGTCCTCTCCCCCGCTCCTGGAGAGTTCTGAAGCCACTGAAGGCTTCGTGGGGGCCGTTTCGGAGCCTCTTCGGCCTTCTTTTGGGCCTCCCGGGGGGGCTCTTAGGGCCCTCTCGGGCCGTCTTGGGTGCCTCTTGGGCCGTCTTGGGGCCGTCTGAGGCCCGCCTCGGCGCCTCTTGGGCTGTCTTGGGCCGTCTTGGGCCGCTCCTGGGGCCGTCTTGGGTGCCTCTTGGGCCGTCTTGGGCGCCTCCTGGGGCCGTCCTGGGGCGTCTTGGGACCGTCTTGGGGCCCTCCTGGCCCGTCTTGGGGCTCTCTTGGGGTCCTCTTCGGCCGTCTTGGAGCGGTCGGGGAGGACTTCTTGGGCCGTCTTGGAGCGTCGGGAAGCCGAAGAGGCGAGGAGGCCGAAAACATAGAAAAACACAATAGAAATCGACGATTTCTGTCGCTCGGGGCCCTCTTGGGAGGCCTCTTGGGAGGCCTCTTCGGGCGTCTTGGACGCCTCTTGGGCCATCTGGGGCGAATCTCGGGCGTCTTGGGCCAATCTTTAAGCGTGCCGGGGCTCTCAGGGGCCGTCTTGGGGGCTTCTGGGGGCCCTCTCGACATGTCCTGGAGCCTGCCTGGGCGGCCCGGGGCGGCCCGGGCCAGCCCGGGGCGGTTTTAACTCATTGGAGCCTGCGCCCTTCTGGCACGCACTGGGCCCTGCAATGTAGTAGAGACTAGTGACTAGGGCTGACCCGCGGCCTCCGGCCGCGGAATTTGCCCGCCCTGGCGTGCACGTGGAAGTGGAGCGTCTCTGGGGCCTCGCGGGTAAGGGGAGGTTGGAGGGGACAGCGTGGATGGAGGTGGCCGCTGGAGGGGAAGGTGGGCGAGGGATGCAGGCAAGCAGGCCTGAAGGCAGGAACGCGGTGGTGGAGGCGGTGTCAGTGGAAGCACACACATGTAGGCATGACATGGTGTGGACAGAAGCTGCTCCTGACGCCGCAGTCTGTGTTCATCATAGCTTCTGCGGGGAAGGTAGCCGTGAGAAGTTGATCTGCTCTTCGCTGGGGCCGAATGATAAATTCATCTGGCA